GGCAAGCGTCCCTGGGGGTGAGGGTCAGCCCCCAGCCCCCCTTCCTTTGAAAACAGCTGTTTGGGATATATCTTATATTCAGCATCTAAATGGGTTATGCAGTTTTTAGACAGAGTTATTTTTTCCTTTTAATGAGTAAACTTATCACATAATATATTTGATATTTGATCCTATTCTGGCCTCTAATTTTATGTTTGTTGTTGCTTATGTTTCCTTTGTTTTCCATCTCTTATTACATGGAATGCCTTGTATATTGTCTGTGTGTGCATGTGTACACGTGTTTGTGTGATATTTTATTTTCCTGAGATGTTAGAAGGTTTGTGATTTTTCCAATCTTCCAGTGACATAATGATAACTTTGCATCATCTGTTGACACCTTTCCTTTAAAAAATCAGCTTGACTATATTTATTGATTCCCAGCTATGAACCTTGAAAAACTAACATACCAATACTTCCTTCCACCTTTGAAACAAGTGTAATTTTGATAATATTTTAACCTTGCTTTTTACTCATCTTATTAGAATTAAGAAGAACCAAAATTCTATGATCTCCATGTCTCAGAAATCCACATCATCACCCTGTACGTTTACTTTCCTCCATAATTTAAGTGTATATATAGATAGATAATATATTTCTGATATATAGATATAGATATAGGTATAATCTATTTATCTATGTATATATATATACTTTTTGGTCAATAGAACACTTCATTAAGAAATTAATTCTTCCTTATATCTCAACCCTAAATGATAAAATACATTGTTAAATATTGTCAAAGTAACTAATTCCCAAATATCAAAGTACATATTACACTAGTAAGAAATGTTGCTTTTAGCCCTGGCTGGTGTAGCTCAGTGGATTGAGCACGGGCCTGGGAACCAAACAACCATGGTTCAATTCCCAGTCAGGGCACATGCCTGGGTTGCAGGCCAGTTCCCAGCAGGGGACACACAAGAGGCAAACATACATTGATATTTCTCTCCCTCTCTTCTTCCCTTCCCCTTTAAAGATAAATAAATAAAATATTTTTTTAAAAAAGAAATGTTGCTTTTAATGGATAAGAAAAAGATGGATGGATGTGTCAGAGATAAGATATTTTCAACAAATTCTAACAGGAAAACTTATTGGGTGATGGTAACTGTGTGGAGTGGAACTGGAGGATATTCTTTCCTATGAAGAACTTACTTCGCAATCTGAATTCTTTCAATATATTGAAAATGATTAACAGTGGAAGGAGGCACAGGTGATAGTGGGTCAATACATGTATGGCCTTATGAGTTGTTATAATATTGAAATAATTCTCGTCGATCAGTACAGATTTGCTGCTCTGACCTCCCCAGTGGCCTGACTCCACTTCACTGCCCCAGCCCCTCCAGTAAGAGTCCCAGAATCTCCCCACAACTGAACAAGGAAAGAGTTAATACTATCAGGTCAGGGAACCTTAGGGACCCTGGTCTGTTACTATGGTTTTCTGTTCTGTTTGGTGATGCCTATGCTTATAAGATTAAGATTATCCCTGGCAATTTTAACCTTATACCTGGCGGTTGGTATGGTTCAGAGTTCTCTTCCTATTAGATAATAAGATAGACAGATAGACATATCTATTAACCAATATCTATTGGTTAACAGATATTCCTGGAGTAAACATGCTTCACATCTATTGCCCATTAGTCAAAGAATATACACACACACATAATGTTAAAGTGTGAAGAAATCTTTTACAAGGAAAACAGTTTTCTGTGCCACTTGGCGTAAGCATACAGCCTAATATGTTATGCTTTTTTTCTTGAAAAAATGTAATCTCAAAGACTGAATCTGTAAAGTCCCCAAAACATCATCCTTAGATGTCATTGTCTTATATCAGGCATTAAAATCTATCCACAGGTACAGAAGATTCAGAATATGCATGTGACAAGAAACTCACAGGACAAGCTAGTACAGACAACTCATAAAAAACTACATCAAGGATATTAATATCATATCACTGGAAGAGAAAAAGAAAAAGAAAGGAATCACAGGGGAAATGGCCCAGTGCTTGCTTACACTAGGTTTTGTTTTGTTTTGCTTTGCTTTGTTTTGAAGGAGCAAAAGTTCTCAAGACACTGCCAACAGATTAAGAACTTGGGTTCTGGAGTAACTTAGGAAAGTTGATGATGTGCAAAGCCCTAGTAAAAGATAAGCATTGAACACCGGCACTTAGGGGGAGAAATGTGTGTTTTAATATGTATGAAATTAATATAAATAGTAGAAAGCAAATAAATCCTTATTTCACTTATGCTGACAACAGTTCAAGAAATTACCATTGTGACTGATCCTTTCTTCAATGTTACTTTTACATTTTCTGATACCTTATATGAAAAACAGTATACATCGTATCTTATCTTTTAGCCCAAGTTTTGAAAGATGGCTATTTGGAATTTTTAAATTCATAAAAAATAAACTTTTCATCATTTGCAAATTTCACTTTATTAAAGATAATTTATTACTAATATACATTGAAATATCCTTGTGAGATTTATTCTGATGAGTTTTAAGCCTCTTAATATCTTTGGTTCTTTAATACTCCTCATTCTGTCTTTCAGTAGACACCTTTTAAGTTATATGAAGCATTTTAAACATTTTTGTATCATCAATGACAGGAAAAAAAATGTCATTCCAAACTTAGGCAAAAGAAATGACAAGCTCAATTCCTAAGTAGGAAGAAAGAACAACCTGATACTACTTAATGTTAAAAATTTAAGTCATTTTAAATGTGGAAAAATATGTTTCAAGTGCTAAAAACACCATGAAAATTTAACATCATTTCAGGTATTTATTCAGATACTTGACAGAAATTAATCATCAGCTCTGAATTTAACACTAAACCTCTAGTCCAAAAAATGGTAAATAAATGAACTTGTATATAGAAACAGTCAAGTCCAATCTTAATGAACTTCTTTATTGCTCTATATTAAGAGCAGGGTTTGAGAAAGGAAAGGTCTACAATAGAGTATATACAAAATTAGGGTGAAAAGTAGGTAACATATATAATGGAAAAAATAGGACAACTATGACTTTTTGCATAGAATATGCCTTTTGCATTATTTAGAATTGCAATATACCATTGATGGGCATGTGGGACAGTGAAGCAGCGAGGAAGCAGATAAGAAATTTCACAGAGAAAACGTGTCTCTTCGGAGGTAAATAATCATGGCCTCCACTGAATAAACATGGCTCGGGTTTTCTTAGATTCTTCTTTTCCTGGCTACCTACCATAGTTGCAACACCTTTAAATTTTAAGATTAAGTTGTCAGTTCTTATGAAAGATTCCCCTACTCTTAAAGTTCTAGGAGAGGAGGGAACATAGTGCAGCATTAATTTCTCTACCACAGGACACTGCTCTCTGAATAATTCAGACTTTCACTGTTCTGGGGGAAAAGTGGATACCTAGACTCAGTGTATGGAATCGTGGCTGAGCTTTCCATTGTTAGAAACTATAAATCATGGTCCTTGATAAATATGATTCAAAATCTAGTCTTGCTTCAAGTAGGGCAATTAGGAAGAGAATAAAGTGATGTTAGTCTTGGTTAAGATTTCTAAGTCCCCATAAGGAGCTTAGTCCCATAAGGTGACTTAGTCTGATGGTTGCTGAAGTATAAATGAGCCAGTAGCAACTATAGAAAAAGTAAATGTCATAGAAAGGGATTATTTTTTAAATTGCTTCATCTGTAAATTTACTATAAGAGACATATGGTAAAATTGAAACTAAAGGTCACAGCCTGCTTTAGATGCACGGACTTAATTTTAGAGAAAGTCGTCAACAACTTAGTTTGTATTCATTATAATCATTTCATTTAGGAAGTCTCTGAAAGGCAAATGGAACTTTTGAGCCCATGAAAGATTAATTTTTGTCACTTTAGCCCCAGAGTGGCTCAAGGTCAGAGACATAAAGTGATCATATGTTCATAATAGTTGATCAACACCTATGCCTGAGGAACATGGCAGTGACTGCCTAGAACTTTGTTTTACTGCATCATATGTGTACATGTGAGTGTGTGCCTGTTCACCCTTGAAAACCACTCTGTCGCTTCCCCAAAATGAACTCCCTAAGGCCAGGAATTTCTTCTTCATCTTTGATGTCAGTGCAGGACAATGTTTGCTAAGCGATTCATTCCCCAGCCTTTTCATATCCCTCCTGATTCCTCTGGAAGCAGTAATCCTTCCAGCATTTACCTTGGCAAATTACTTCTTCTGCATCCTTGACATTTAATCCCTCTCAGCCTCAGTGATTTAATCTGTAAACTGGGAATGATGTAACTTTATATATATATATGTTAAATCAAAACAGATTGGCACATAAAAATGCACATTTTAAAATGAAGAATCAGACATATATGCCATTTTTAAAAGGACAAAATAATGTGTAAAAGCAGGAAAAGAAGTGAGGGGAAAGGTAATTAGAGTATAATGAAGAACTAAAAATCTGACTTCTTCAATCTTTATTCTGTGTTTCCTGGTATGTAGTGTGTAAGTTTCAAACTCTTAGTTTTACCCAGCAAATATGAATGAAAAAAATAAAGATTACCCTTTGAGAATATGAGACACCTAAGTGAAATATAATGCTATATTCAAGAAACTGCAGAGAAATAAGGGTAAATTTCAAAGTAAATGACTTCAAGAGTTTTATAGGTTCTCTAACCCAAGCTAGTTTCCAGATCTCACCTTCATTATTTTTCTCATTTCCTTTTGGTCGAATTAATCAAAATCCTTCTTAGAATGTTCATTTTTGGCAATATGTCTTCCTGAATATGAATAAGAAAAAAATACCACTTGATGTTTGAAATTATGGGGGTAATTTCAATGACGGAAATAGATGACTGGTAAAAGGGAAGGAAATGTTTGATTAAATATATTCATAAAGGTGTCAAAGGCTTATAAAGGCAATACCTGGGGAAGAGAAAACTGTAGGACTACCAGATCTTCTCTGGCAAAGGGTGTTTCCCGAAATTCTCACCACCATGGGCAACAAAGCATTGTCATCGAAAGGTATGTGCAACAATTCATTTAGTCATTGGCTTTAGCAACACTCCTTTGAGGGTACTAATCTGAAATTTTAGCTAATATTCTCTTAGCGAGAGGTTTCAGGGTTATAGAGTTTAGAAAACCTATTTAATCATTGCTCTTTTAAGAAATTGTACAAAAGTCCAATAGAATAGAACAGTGGTTCTTCAATGAAGGAATTTTTCTTCCAGTGACATATCACTAATGTGTGGAGATATTTTGGATTATCTTAATTGGGGTATAAAGTGTTCCTGATACCTAGTGAGTAGAGGTCAGAGATGCTGTTAAACAAAGTACAATGCACAGGAGAGCTCCTAAAACAAGAAATTATCCAGCTCAAAATGCCAGTAATGCCAAGGTTGACAAACCCTGGACTGGAATAAGACCAAAAGTGTCTTTAGGTCCAATTTATCACAACTCCAGAGGCAGAAACTAACATCTTCTGGTTCCCAGGCTTCTCGTGTCGTTCGGTCATCAGTCAACCTGATGAAACTTTCAACTCTGAAGCCGTAATGTAGACAATGATAGCAGAATTGTCTTGTATAATACTGTGTTGATTGGGGTGAAGGCAAATGACATTTCAAAAAGAACAACAGACGAGTAACAACTAATCACCTTTACTTTCTTGGTTGATATTTGCAAAAAAAGAGAAATTAGTATAGCCATAAAATTTGTTTTATGAAATGAAGAACAAAAACATTTACCAATTTTATCTTATCTCAGACTGTGAAAATTCTTCAGATGATAAATGTGCAGGTAAATGCACATACAGATAAATACAGAGTTAGAGTATTTATCCAGTAATGAATCTCCTAGAACCAATATTCCAATTTCTCTATCTGCTAAGTACTTTTTATTTATACCTGTGGATAAATATTCATCCAGCTACATTTCATGACTATAAGGTACAGAAAATAAACTTTTTGGCAACACCATGTTTTTAAAACACTTGATGTCTATTATGAACCATCTCATAATATTAATCTATTTTATTTTGTAGCTGAAATCTATTTAGTGGACGTTCTATATTAAATATTTTTTAGATATTTTAGGAGTTTAGGTTTAGATATTTTTTATACAGAAAACTTTAGCACTTGCATAGTTTTGTCTGAGACATATTAAATTACATGTATTGAAGATTGCTTAAAAGTTTTGCTTTTCTGACCAACACATTTTAGTATCCGATATTCTTTTGGAGTCATTTGATATTAAAAAAAACTCAACATATTGTTTCTTTCTTTTTAAAAGTATAAATTATTCACATGTCAGAGGTCTACAATTGTCCATCTGCTGGGATAACAAATTGATGACTAAATCATCTCTGATAATTGTCCAAGATTTTAAAAGTGTGTGTTTTATATTTATCCACTCTTTTTCTGTCTTATAGAACAGAAGAAGAGTGGATAAATAAACCTCCTAAGGCCACCACTTTTATGGAATCAAAGATCGTTTTTTCTAAGTAAGACAATGGCCTCTGGAAGCACTGAGTCATCGTGGCTACTGATTGTAGTGCCTGTCACACACTTACATAGCCTGAGAGCTCACAGGTGTGTGTAATGGGTGGGACTGGAGGAAGTGAATAGATGGCAGTATTAGCATCTAGCTTCCTCCACCTGCTAATAACAGGACAGCGGAGAACCCCTTAATCGCTCTAAGCCTTCTGGTTCATCAGTATAATTTGCTGATAATAATGGATGAGGCTATCTCACTGGGCTATTGTAAAACTAAATTTTTCTTCAAATGTTAAAACTTTGGCAGAGTGTCAAGTACTTCAATGCACGGCATTATTAAGGTGAGTTAGCAGATCTAGGCTGCAGCATCATTTTTTATGGTAGACTTCTCTTCATATTCGGAACTGCCATCTGTCAGACATGTGCTTATTCCTAACAGTCACAGAGGTGAAACAAACAGGTCAACTGTGCTGTCTTTGCCATTTCAGTGTCTAAATGCAAGTGTTAGTCAGTAGAATGTTTTAAAAAATTACAAAGTCCAAGAGAGCTAGGCTGCTGAAAATCTGCAGAAACTCCCAAGACACTATCTTAGAAGAATGGCTTAAACACTCTGGCTCAAAATTAATTTAAGCTCCAAATGTTTGCAAGGTATAGAAGCACTTCTGGGAAAAGTACGAAAATGCAAGGAGCAACCTAGTTCTTCAACTATATATCTGTGCAAATATAATTCCGTATCTAAATTTACATAGTGGGAAGTGTTGATTCTTCCCCACCCCAGCTATTATAGTACCTAATCATGCTGAGGGCAATGTTGAGAGATAAGGCTGTCTTCCACAGGATGACTTTTGATAACCTCTGCTGAATAGATCATCTGAGAATGGCTCCTGTTTTTGTTTAAGCAGGGTCATTCCTGCTCCTCTTGCTGCTGCTGTCCAACCTGCTCCTGTGCAGGAGCGTGGACTCCCTGCCCATCTGCCCCAGTGGGGCTGTCAACTGCAAAGTGTCCCTCCGAGACCTGTTTGACCGTGCAGTCGTCCTGTCTCACTACATCCATAGTCTCTCCTCAGAAATGTTCAGTGAATTTGTAAGTACCACACTTCTTGCTTCTTCCCAGAAGGAACCTTCATGCAAATGACTGAGCTATACCTCACTTTAAACAAGAAAGCCACATAAGTCAAAGAATGCACCTTAGATGTAAAAAAGGCATCTGTGAATGAACTGTGAAACAAGAAGAAAGGGACAGTTTCATGAAATACCAATGATTTTTAAAGAGTCTAACAGTTTTTTTTCTTTGATTCATTTTGTTTTGTTTTTAATTTCCAAAAAATTTTAAGCATCTATGTTGGTTGGCTTGGACTGCCATACACAATATCATAGATTGTGTAGCCTAAGCAACAGAAATTCATTTTCTCACAGTTGTAGAGGCTATGAGATCAAGGTGCCAGAATGATTGGGTTCCAGTAAGAGCTCTCTTCTTCCCAGCTTGCGTTCTCCCTGTCTCCTTACATGGGAGGAGGGGGCAGATAAATGGAGGGACAGAGAAAGCAAGAGGAGAATGAGCAAGAGCCAGAGGACTTTATGCTGTCTCTTCTTATAAGGAGAATAATCCTCCTGGATCAGGACTCCACCCTTATGCCCTCATTTAACCTTGATTACCTCAGTAAAGACTCTATTTCCAAATATAGTACATTAGTGGTTGGGGCTTCAACACATGAAACTGGGGGTGCGGAGACACAGCCACCTGACATAAAAAAACTTTTAGGTGGGGTTTAGGAAAAAGAAGCGTGTCGATTTCTTGTCCTTGCACGTAGGGTATGTGTCTGCCAAGGTATACTTCACCTGTTACACTGCAAACATCTAATAAATGAGGACTGCACTACAATAAGCTGGGCAGATTAGACAAAATTAAATTAAACTAAATGCACGTTAAGAAAATAAACAAATAATAATAGCTAGCTTTCCTGAAGCTCAAAAGTGCTATGAATTGTTGTTCTAAGATTTCCAACGTATGGGTTTAGAACTACGATAGAAGGATTAGTTTAGAATTGTTCTCTGAGTAAGTTGTATGTTAACTCTTTTAGGTCATTCAAAGATTGGACAATAGATTAGAACTTCAATAAATCAAAAGGATGTTCAGAAAGAATGTGGCTCAATGTTTATAATAAATATATATTTATGTATTTTTTACACACTAATTTTTCTTTCACACTAAATTTTTGATTGGCCATCTCTAGTCTTCCAAATCTTCCTAGTAATCTCTTTAAGTTTTCACAATGTTTGCTAATGATTAGGGTTTTTTTTCTGTTAATGTGTTAGCTATATTTTTTTCTGTTCTTATTGTCAGTTCATTGCTTAGTATTTCCTGTTTTTCTGACTTATTATTTCATCATGATTAACAAACTGTATTCTGCATCTATGATGAAGATGGTATAGTTGCACGGGCTTAGAGATTAGTCAAAGAAAAGTTATAATTTTTTAATGCCTATTAAAAGACTTTATCTGTTCAGACCTACATAAACAAGCGGTTATATGGCTAAGTATAAGTACATATGCACTATTACATTTTGTTCAAATGCTAAAGAAAGATGATATATAATAAACATTTAATATTTAATATTTCAAATATTTTTAGTGTTTACTTTCCAAATAATAATCTATGGGAAGGATGAAATTAAGGAAATAGCAAAGAAGGGAAGAGTCTAGAATTTAGGAAAGTTAGCTGGAAAAAATGTTTATAGAGATAATAGAAAGGAAGGGGAAAGAGCAACTTTTTAAATTCTCATGTTCTAATTTTTGTGTGGTTCCCATTTCTAAAAAAAATGTATATTTATCAAATGTGTTAATATTTTGGTAATAGATTCATTGATTCAATACCCAAACAGCCTTGACTGAATTTGTTCTATCACTTTCAGGATAAACAGTATGGCCAGGGTAAGAATTTCATTGCGAGGGCCATCAACAGCTGCCACACTGCTTCCATCCCTACCCCTGGAAACAAGGAGCAAGCCCAAAATACCCATGTGAGTCTTTTGTACAGGCCTCTCACCAAAACAACTGAGGCAGTAGATTATTAGGGACATTATAATAGGTACTGATAATTGCACATGCAGAGCAAAAAGGAGGAAAAATTGCAATCGAAGAGAAGTTATATATTTAGTAAGCTATTCGTAAAATCAAATGCAGGCTAAATATTACAGCAGCAAAATAAATAACAGATCTATAAATTGGCCATGCAGACATGACTTCAATCAATGTGTTAGACCCAGGACTGCATATATTATTCAGTATGAAAGCATTAACTGAATTGGACTTGCATGTGTGAAATGTAGGGTTTGAAAAATTTATGGATACATAGGAAATAAATGCAGTTTTACTTATGACTGGGGCTCCCGCAAGGACAGGACTTCACACGGCTGACCACCACACCACCCGAGCCGTCACACCGGGACTTGCCCTTCACCACACACGAGGCTCTCCCTTTGCCTGGCCTACTTCTCCGACACCACTTCTCCCTTTCTTCACTCTTCACTCACTTCTCTGCCATCTCTTCTGTCTTAGTGATGAGTCTCACCCCCAAACAGGACCTGTAAGTTATTGTACTGCTTCTCATGACTATTGCCTCTGTTCCAATGACAATAATTTATCCCACATCCAATTTATTTTTATTATCATTTCTCTTCTGATTTCCTACCATAGCCACAGTTAACATGATTTTTAAAAAAATATCTTCACATATATAGCTCCCATAAATACAATGTGTTCTCTCCTTACAACTTTGGTAACATGACCAGCATTCTGTCTGTCTGCTAAGCTCATTAGTAATAAGTATAATGATGATAACAATAGTAATAATAAAATAAAGATGGTAAAAAAAGGAGGAGGAAGAGGAATTAAAATTTGTTGATAGTTACTACATTGCCAGACACCTTACAATGCACTTTACGTGCATTACTGTATTTAATTCTCATATAAAACCCTATAACACAAAGTGCTATTATTACACCTACTGACATGAGGAAACCGTAGCTTGGAGAGCTGATAGAATTAACACCAGTATATGAGTAGTAAACAGCGAGTCTGGACTTCATCCAATTCAGAACTTCATTGTTATGTTCTAATGCCCCTAGCAAAACTACCCTGCCATCCACTACATAGCCAGTCCCTCTTTACCTCTCCTTTCTTTCATATCTCAGTATATGCTTCCATGGCAAAGCCTATTTGATTCTTCTCCACTCTTCTTTCCCCTTACCATTTGACATCAGGATAGCAAACACTTTTACATCAAAGGTGATCGGCTCTCTGGAATTTCACACACAATCCTTGTAATAGTAAACTAGTGGACAAAACATTCATTGTGAATTCCCTTAATGCTGGCATTAAAGGTAGACACCATTGTGCCATTTTAGCCACCGGAACATGTCAGCAAATGCAGTGGTCTAAGAGCAGGGTTGGCATAGATTGAGTAGAGCATGTTTCTGAATACTGTATCTTTTTTTCACGTTCTCTTTGTTCTAATTTTGTATTAAAAGAAAAGTAGAAATCACAAATCAACACATTAACAAATACTTTGGTTCATTAATAGGAATTAATCTTTAAAAGAAATCACTGCTGGTATATGAATGTCCTGAGTCAGAAGGGCCACGTATGGAGCACCAACAAAACTCCGGTTTCTGCCCACAGTCCAGCAAAGCAGTAGAACATAAAAGAATTACCTGTGTAGGCAAATGGTAGAATTTCAGAAGGAAAACAAAATTCTTAGAACTCTCATTAAAAGAAGTAGTTATTTAAATAAGCCAGATTTTTTTTTAATTTTAGCAAAGTGTAAGCTAGTAGCTTAAATTTTAGATTTTCTCAACCTGTACCACCTAGAAACAACTTTACATACACACAGGAATAACAAAGAGATAACTAGGTCAGTCTCCCTGAGCAAAAATTACATATAACCCATTTTACTATGCTTGTTTTAATGTAATTATTTCAATGGTTGCTTAGCATGAAGACCTTCTGAGCCTGATCCTTAGACTGTTGCGCTCCTGGAATGCCCCTCTGTATCACCTGGTCTCTGAAGTTCGTGGTATGCAAGGACCCCCCAGCGATGTCCTATCAAAAGCCATAGAGATTGAGGAACGTAACAAACAACTTCTGGCGGGCATGGAGAGGATAGTTGGCCAGGTGAGCAACCTAGTGACACTTCTTGGTTTTTTGTTTTTCTGGGTCTTTTTTAAATTAATGAAATAGATGAGCCCTGTGAAGAGAAATGAGTTTTGAAATCTCTCATTCTGTAAGAACAAACTTTAAGTGTTTTATATTCTACACTGCTATTAAATCAAGCAAGAGCCGAGTAATTCATAGTGATAGATTCTACTGTAAGTGAATCTTAGAATCCCACTGTCATATTTGACAGGCACAGACTTTCCTATACGACACACAAATCCATCCAAGCCTTGGCCCTTCTTGAGGATTGGCATTTAAAATAATTTTAAGGGAAAGAAACTGGAGAGTAGAATCTACCAGATAATGTCTTCCTCAGTGTATTCTAGGCCACCTGTTATTGAAATTCTGCTCATATACTTTCTCTTTTCTCCCTACATCAATGTGTAAGAGAGAATGGAGAAAAGAGAAAATCAAAATCAGATCGGATGGTGTTGACTCCGCTCTCCCACCTCCCCCTGCTAGACAGATCTGTCTGGGAAGGAAGGAGATTGGAAAGACAAGGTGTGGGGGGGGGGGCACTGATGCTGCCTCAACGCCACTAGATTTCAGGGTTACAAAGGAAGGGGGTGTATCTTTTCTGAAATGCTCTTTATTTTGTAATTCATAGAGTCACGTCATCCTAAATCTTGTTCTGGGGGGCTTCCAAATGAAACTCATACCTTGCATGTAATTTCCCCCAAATAATTTCATATGTATATAAAGGGAATATTTTTAATATATATATCTCCATGTAGATGGGATCACTTCAACATGAGCAAGGAAACATCTAAACAGCTTTCTGAAGTTCTCAAACATCATGTATCATCTAAAGAAACATATACAATTATGAAAACAGTAACAGGAGAGCTATTTTCTTATTGTATACACAGTGCATGTTGTCATGTGGCATCTGGTCATTTTCACAGGAGCAGACACAGAGCACACTTTAAGGTCAGGGTAGATGAGAGAGACACCTACCTGTTCAAGTGGTTTTCTTCATTTCTGTGGGCCTACTTTCCCAGGTCACTAATCTGTTCTCTACTCCATTATTTGTTCTTTCTTTGAAAACCATGTATTTATTTACTCTTGCTCATATCATTGTCCCTGGCACAGTAAATTTTGTCATAAGGGTCAAACACCAAAAATAAAAATAAAAAAATTTAAAATGCAAGCCAACACACGCACATGCACACCTTTTATTAAATACATTTTAATTTCCAATAGGAATCCCTGGTTTTAAACGATATTCTTAACATTCGGGAGAAAACACATTTAGTGATCAGACTGTACGATGCCCCCACATTTGTACCTCCCAGCTTCGCAGACTCCCTGACAGCCCTAGTTGCTCAGCTGTTACTAGGTCTCTCAGGTCTCTGGGGACCCAGGTTTCTGGAGACCCAGGTCTCCGGAGACCCGGGTCTCTGGGGACTCCCAACATGCAGAGGCTGATGGCGAGCATCGAACGGCATGTGCTCATCCTCCCTGTTGCTTGGTTGCCTTTTGTTATCACAGTTGTGCTCCCACCCACCACCCACTCTCACTACTGGTGGGTTACTGCCAATACTCTCTTTCTAACTGGCCCTTTCCCAGAACCTCCCACCCCACAGACCTCAAAAGAAAGCAGCTATTCCTCATAAAAATTTGGCACTTATCTGTCCTGGGTGGATTGTGAATGTCTCCTGACTACTTCAGCAGATCATCTGAGTCTGAGTCATCACTAAATTATCTGGACCTTTAAGTAGCAAGTACAACCCTCACCATTTCTAATGTCTCTGTTATGTATACTATGTGGGGGATAAAATCTGTTCAAAGCAGGGAAAAGATCAATGTAATTAATGTGAGCTGTCAGAAGAAATAAAGTACAAAGTGCACATCAGAGACAAGCAACTGAAATGAAGCAGTCCCTCAGTGAGAGAGTGGAGGCGAGCTCCTCCATTGTCCCTCGGTCACATTCACAGCCACATACCAATAGCAACTTTCTGGTTCTCCACCTAGCTACTGCTCCACGGACACACTTCATCTGTGGTCACATACATGTGAGAAAACTTCCACTTGAGCTTTGCTTCTAGTTTTTAAATGATAGATATTGATAGATTTCTAATACGCTGGCTCAGTAATCAATGCCTCTCTCTGGAGAGTTTCACATTCATGTCTCTTCCACAAATATTATTTCAACAATTAGAAAGCACAAAGATAAGCAAATACTAATAATACTACTAATAATACTAATACTAAGTTACCATCTTTTGGGTCCTTAGGTTTATCCCGAAGCCAAACAAAATGAGGTCTACTCTGTCTGGCCTGGATTTCCATCTCTGCAGGATGCCGATGAAGACAGTCGCCTTTCTGCCTTTTATAACCTGCTCCACTGCCTGCGCAGGGATTCACACAAGGTCGACAACTTTCTCAAGCTCCTGAGGTGCCGGGTGATCTATGATAACAACTGCTAAGCTTACATCCATTCCCTCTGTTTCTGAGATGGTTCTTAATGATCCATCCCATAGCAAGCTTCTATTAGTTTTATAGCTTTGTAATGCATGCTTGGTATAATGGGTTTGTCTTAAAAAAATAAAAACTGACTTCTTAGAGGTGTCAAAATCTAAAAAGGCAATTTGTCAAAGTTTCTTATCTTTATTTACTAGAAAATCAAGAGAAAATTCATTACTACCACTGAGAATTTCCTATTAAAATCTGTCACAAATAGCAGAGGCTAGCATTACAAATAAGACAATTAACAGCTTAATTTAGAATCATGGTAAATCATTTGGGTCAAGTTATAAGAATCAAAGAATTTGATCATTATTAGTCATGCTGGTCATGCCAACAAGAAGACAGAATTTTCAGGATTCTTTATAAAAGCCAACCATATCTTATCAGCTAACTTTCACAGTATTATGACAGACAATTTAAGTACTATAAAACTGTAATACACCCAAGTAGCATGAGGTTTACTAAACAGTCTAAAATTAGCAGGATACTGTCTTAGTATGTTTGGGCTGCTACCTCAGACTGGGTAGCTTACGAACAACAGAAATTTCATTCTCACATTTCTGGAGGTTGGCGTACAAGGTCAGAGTGCCAGCATGGTATTGGGCCCTCTTCTGGGTCACGGACTTTTCACTGTATCCTTACAGGGCAGAAGGGACTGGAGAGCTTTGTTTCTTTTATAAAAGCACTAATCCCATTCAGAAGACCCAACCCCTATAATCTGACCACCTCTCAAAGGCCCCACCTACTCATACTATCACCTTTGGGGATTAAAATATCAACATATTACTGAATTCTGGGGTAACACCAACATTCAGACCATGGCAGATACGAACATGCACAGCCATCCTTCTCCAGAGGCTGTCTTCAACCATGCTACATGAACTCCCATCTTCTTAGCACTGTCTTGGACACAGTCCATCTATTTTAATCACTCTGGGTTCAATAAGTCCAGTCCAGACAGGTTTCGACTCCATCCCATATTCAACCTCTTTAATGTTTTCCTCTCTCCTATTACAACTAAGGAGCCTCACAGGGAAAGTAAATGTCACCTATTTCCGTAGCTTCTTCTTTCCCCTTCTTCTGCATCTTCATTCTGCTGATATGCTGGGTGGGGCAGAGGATGAGGAGAAATGAGAAAGTTTTGATGTCACTGACTAATGTGATGCTTGTGTAGTCTTCTCATTACTGACAGAGACAAAGCTTGAATTCCTTCTGAGTGGCAAGTGTGTCTCTTGTGGGGATACCCTACTCTATGGTTTATCAAGGGGACATTCTCTGGCTTGATTCTTCTCTCCACCCCATAGCCCTGACGTGTTCTGTATTCTCCACAGCCCCCTCTGCTATTCCCTTCTCCTGCAAGCACCTTACCAAATAAAACTGGCTCAACATCAACTATCTACCAACTGACACACAGAAAACTCAGCCCTTGCAACCGCTCTAAACAACTGAATGCCAATAACAGTGGATCGCTTCTACCTCTTCCTGGGGCCCCTTAACAATCATCTTCTCCCCTTCTTTACATAGATACCAAACTGGATTCATAAGCAGATATTAAACTGAGGAATGAAATGCCATTCTCTCTTTTCTTTCAGTCAAATGACTAATTATCTCTTTTAATAATTGTCTTAGAGAGCTGGCCTTAGAAACTTTCCTGCTTAGCCACTGAATTGCAGCACTGTCTTTATACATTTAACTTTCTATTGATGGAGACTGGATAGAGGTGACTGCATCGGGGCTGTTCAGCTTATTCGACTGCCTCTAGACAGCCTGGGAACAGGGTCTGTCTCTTGCTGCTCTCCTTACAAAGCAATGGCATCGCCAAGCTATTTTGCAGTGGCTTTAGGGCTTTCGCAGGATTTCCTAGACAACAAACAATAGGAAATATTCCATCCAACATCCCGACAGAGATGAAATAAAAAGGTGAATAGAAAGGAGAACAAAGAGAAAGAAAGGAAGAGGAACAGAAAGGGAAGGGAAAACATGAAGAGGAAAAGTAAGCAGCAGACATACTTTGTGACAGATAAGCTGCTATGAGAATACTCTACTTGGTGAAGACCTAAACTTTTATACCCTTACAGCAAATATCTCAATCTTTCTTTTACCTTCTTTTCTTCCTCTCTCTTCCTGTTCCAAAATGTCCCTTTGTATTAGGAGTATTATTTGCCCTTAATAATTGAGTTTCAGTAGCTCTAGAAAGGAGCAGAACTTGGCACCTCTTCAGATAACAATTCCACTGCTGGAATTATAGTATAATGCTCCCCAATTCCACTTAGGGATTACACCCTAAGAACCCTGAAACACCAATCCAAAAGAACCTGTGCACCCCAATGTTCATAGAAGCACAATTTACAATAGCCAAGGGCTGGAAGCAACATAAATGCCCACCAGTGAGTGGATCAAAAAACTGGTACATTTACACAATGGAATAATACACCACAGAAAGAAAGAAGGAGCTCCTATTCTTTGTGACAGTATGGATGGAACTGGAAAGCATTATACTAAGTGAAATAAGCCAGACAGTGAAAGACAAATACCATATGATCTCACCTATCAGTGGAAGCTAATCAACAAAACAAACAAGCAAGCAAAATATAACCAGAAACACTGAATTAAATAACAAATGGACAGTAACCAGAGGGGAGGGGAGAGTGGCATAATGGGGGGAAATAGGGGATTGTCCATCAAGGAACATGTATAAAGGACATATAGACAAAGCCAAAGGGGGGAGGTTCATGGATGGGAGGCAGGGATGGGTGGGGTGGGGAGCCAAGGTTGAGTGAAAATGGAGACAATTGTCCTTGAGCAAGGAAAAAAAAGAATTTGAGGCAATTTTCTTCTGCCATGCAAAGAAACATTTCCCCCACATACAGAAACATTGTTTACCAAAACCAATCTCTTCTCTCCAAGCCAGGGTTATTTTTGTCTGAGTCCTGCTCCTGCCTCTGGCTGCGATGACCCAGACCTTTCAGAATACCATGTCACAAACCAATCTATCAGTCTCTCCCTTCCTTCCTGCATACATGTGAAAGGCCAGCTTTCTCATATCGCAGCTCTCCTCTTTTAAAAGGCATGAGAGTATAGAGAAAACTTTATGCACTTTCATAAGTCATTTATTGCTGAAAATATCTCATTCTTTTGTGTTACCCCTTAACTTCCTTTTTTTCAATATCTAGATATTTCCAGCAGAGAGGATGATATTTATCAGGGGTGAAAATTGTCAATAAAAGGACAATGCAGTTGCCTGACACATAAGTTCACCACCAGCCCACATACATCTTCATGTATTCTTCTCTTAAAGGTTTGTTCTAAGCACAAATTTAAGACTTCAGATAAATAACTGAGATGGTGATATTAAAAGGCCTCCCCCTGCTTGACCATGACATATAAACTGAATACTGTAGTTTTCAGACAAGACTGAGCAGAGCCATGGATATTTCTGTAGAGTCAGCAAGGGGTAGCTGGAAAGAGAATATTTGGGGAAAATATAACAATCACTCCCCTGCCAACCAGAGTGAGTTGTTTTTCCTCTTTTTTACAGACTTCTGTGTAAGATTACATTTGAAGAAATGGCCCCACTAGAGCAACAGTAACAGCCACAGTTACAAAAAAAGAAACAAACAAATACATGGAAAACCTTTAAAATTAACTTATCACATAGATTAGTAAATCATGGGTCATAAGTTGTAGAAAAAGGGAGTGTTACATAAATATGCAAATCGCTATAGTGTATGGTAGAGAAAAGAGAGTGTAATGGGTGATGCTAATTAACATGCTAGAGTAAGTGAAGGGCAGCTAGGAGGCATCTGTTTATGAGAAGGAGGAAGTTTTCTAGAGGGACACCATTGTGATGGCTTTATGATGAAGTTTTAAACAGTTGATGGGATATTGTTAGGCAAAAACTGGAAGACAGCATTTATGTCAATTCATTTAGAATCATTTAGTGACATAAGTATCTCCTACACCCTGAGCAAAAAGGAACTGAGGTGTCAATACATATAGTATTATAAGGTATCAGTAAACAATCAAGTTTGACCAAAACACAAGAAATGTTCACTTTTTTGAACAGACATGTGATACCTTTGATGATTATGCTCCCATGACATGAGGCTATACACACCACAGTAGGGTAATAATGGGGGAAGCCCTTTTAGGGATTGTCAATGTATTGTAGAGAATCATTTATACCAATTTGAAGAGATTATACTTTTACTCTACAAGGCAAGAGGAAACAAAAATTTTAGGGCAGGAGAGAAATATGTCCAGAATTGGAAAATAGAAAAATGAATCTAGTTTGGAGGGTTGTGGAAGGGTAGGACTAGAAGAGGAAAGGAAGTAGTCCAGAAATCAGTTGGAATATTACTATGACCCTCTAAATGAAAATCAAAAAGGACTCTGTCTGAAGGATAGAAGAAAGAAGCAAAGGATGTGAGAAATCTACAAACAGCAATAGAACTCGACCGTATAGAGGGAATGAGGCAGATATTGATACAGGGTGCAGCTAAAGGGGGCCCCCAAAAAAAGATTTGGAGTAGTGTCCAGAATTCAAAGTGTATGGGAATAATGGAGAGACATATAAGATGTCCTCACCCCACCCCCACAGGTATGAGTTGGGGGGGAAGGGACAGTTTTGCACAGCCACAGCCTTGCAGTTAATTTATGGCATTGTCTTTTAACATATCTATAGCCTCTGGTGGCGGTCACTTGGATATGTTAAATGGCTGTGGCCAGGCTTGGAGCTAGGGGGATGAAGTCTCTTCCCCCCAAGATGTAACTGGGGGCAGGTCCCCCCAAGTTACAGCGCTTGCGTAGGGGCTTGGAAAAAATTGGCTCGAGGACATGGGATGATTACTGCCCAGACTAACGATGGCAGCCCAGTAAACTTGTATTAATACAGAATACTGGCAGGTGTAACTGATCTTGGGAGGAGTCGGAAATAGGGGTACAGAGGAAGATGGGTGCT